ACTTTCTGATGATAAACAGGAAAATGTCTGAAGGGAGAGCCCTTTTCTTCTTCTTTTTCCTTAAAAATATAAGTTGATGGAGAAAGTTTCTATCGTTATTAGAACTAGACATTATAGTAGACAAGACCTAACTGTGTCTGACATTGATTTTCCCTTTCTTTTAATAGTATGTTTATCCTTTGGGAGTGCCTCTTTACCTATATTTGTTCATGGAATTTATGTAGGTCTGATTCTACTTTCTGTTTCCAGGTGTGGCTTGTGACCTAGTTCTGGTCAGTAAGAGTACTACATCTTTTTGGCCATAGGAGTTCAGAAGTAGACATGTGACCCAGGTTGAGTTAATAAGCTATTGAATATTACATTGAACGTCAGTTCTAGGATTTCCTGGATGTACTGGAGGCGAGATAATCTCTTTCTATAGAATTGTGTTTCTATAGAATGGCTGTCTTGCCACCAGATGGGGGAGCCCCCTGAGAATGGTGCCTACGGAGAGAGTCACAAAGCTGAGAATGGAGAAAGACTCCTAACGGCCTGTAGGGAGGAGCTGGATGTAGCTTTGCCTGAAGTCAGATATGCCCGTGGACTTTAAAGTCATATTACCCATAAAATTTCCTATTGTGCTTAGTCCAGTTTGTATTAGGTTTCTGTTATTTGCAGAGCCATTGACTAATCAAAGACTGTTTATCAATGTCCTTGGTTTTAATCAGATGCCAGTAAGGAGCAGAGGAGGAAAATGCAGTCTCATTCTAATTCTTATATTGGTTCATGGAAAGCAGGGGCTCATTCCTTTTTTTTCTCATTTTAAGAAAATAATGTCCTGATGGTTTTTATACTTGTGTGGCCATTACACATTCCATCCCAAATCCTTTTCTCAAGATGGTTAGCATGATCTCAGCATCTTGTTCTCCCTTCCCTCTGACTGCAGAATTCACCGGATGCATCTTTCATCGTCTAGACAGCTGCCAAGAATGTTCCCTTAGGTTGGTTCGTAGACCATCTTCATAATAGGGTGAACAAATCTTTCAGAATGTTTTCATTTACTCACCGAACCATCACCTTCCTGAATCAATCCCCTTTGCCAGAAAAATAAATCAACATGTCTTTTATGACAGTGGAAACTAGCATACCTCCTTCCCATCCATGTGTCTACAAACCCCTTCTTGAGATAAACATTTTTCTAATTTAGTCAAAGAGTTAAAAAAAAAAAAGCCAGGAGGAGGTATGGTATATTCCACGCAGCTCTTTACAAAAGACAATAATAAAGGTACTATTATTTTTCTAAAAGTCTAGAGCCATCTTATTTCTGAAATTACAGGATATTCGTGTGGTTGTTAAATAAGCAGATAATCTTTATCTGCTAATTAAAAAAAAACCCAAAAACCCTGCTTATTGCCAGAGGACTGTGACAGTCTTAACAAGTTTTACAGAAAATAAAATACCAGCAGATAACAGGTATTATGTTTTCTTCTGGCAAATATTAACACTTCCCAGCTAGCATATCTTGCTTACTTAATTGGGTCTATAAAAACTCACCAGGCCTTTTCACTTGGAACCATTGAAATTCTCTCAATTTGTTCTTTACAGCTTTTCAGAGCCTAGATGGAAGAACAGCTAAAAAACAGACCGGCTGAAAAGATTTTTAAGGTCTCATGTCCATATTTACAAATCTTGCAGTCTGCATGTATTCACTGATTTTAACACAAATAAAGGGAATAAATTAGGAGCTCCTTTGGGGAAAAGAAACACACCAACTTTGAGAGAAAAAGAACAAAGTACATCTGCTCAGGCAACCCTCAAATGGTCTCCATGGCTTTCCCAGCACTAACCGCACACCCTGCCTCCAACAGATTCATTGCTGTTTCTCTGAGCTCAATTAGAAGCTCACTCCCTATAAGGTAGCGTTTCTTACATATATTATTGTCCTTTTTAATTTGGGCTCAGATGTCTGTATTCATGGCTAGATTGTGAGTTCCCCCAAGGTAGAGATATTATATTCTTGCTACCAGCACCTAGCCTACACTAAGTCTGAGTATATATTTGTTAAAATTGAATAGGAGACACAGAAAAAAAAGAAGGAAAAGAGAATGATGTCCCAGCAAGTGAGAATCCAAGAGAACAGCGGGAGAAGTCTTCAGCATTGGGCTGCTGGGGAGGTGGGATAATGGTGAGAACTACCAGCAGGATGGAGGGGGAGTATTCAGAAGGTGCAAGGCCAGCCAAAGGAAGACTATCAGTGTCATTGATCAAAATATTTTTTTTCCAAAAAATCATCCTAGATTGTAATCAAGTGATTGCTTTCATCATTTTGCCTTTGAAGACTTTTGTGAGCTACTTTCTTTCTGGCCTATATTAAAACTACTTTAAATGCAATGATTAGGTAACTCTTCTTCCTAATTTCCTTCTTAATAGTTCAGAAGTTCCCTTGTATAATGGGACTCTGGAAATATTTGTTAGGCCTCTCAATGAAGTACTGGACTTGGCGAGTTCTGAGTCCATGACAGTATTTTTTGATGATACTTGACCATGGAATATGGTCGTGTTAGAGAAGCTGAACTATTTTGATGCTTAGAAATGATCAGAAGTAATGTTATAATTTTAGAACTTTCAGTCAGAAACCTTGATGACCACCCAGTGAAGCACCTGCGGGTCCTCTGTTGGGCCCCATTCATCCCCCTGGTGGACTGTTGATCGGATTTTAAAAACTGATGCTGAAGACCAGCACGATCTAGGGACCACAGTCTCATTTACAAGAGCCTCCTTGTTGGATCTCGCTGATGAACAGGTGTGAAATGTTAACTTTCTAAACTTGCTTTCCTAGACCTCTCCGAAAGTAGCAAGACAATGGTATGATTTCTCAGGCCTATGCTGGACAAAAGATACTAGTGTTTTTCCTTGGCTTGGGAAGAGGACAGGAAAGGGCGCTGAGGTTCTGATCCCTGGTTTGGAGTATCTCAGGTGATGACAAAAAGCTCTCGTCTTTTATGACAGAGCATTTTCCAAGCGTCCCTTTGGGAAGCCTTAGTTCCCGATTGTCTGGGAAGTATAAAACCCGCCACTTTAGGCAACACTCAACACACGCAAGCATGGGAAACACAAATTAAAATAGAGACACTTTATGCACTCAGTTGTTTGTCTAGTTACACTTTTGCTTGGCATAAAAATAGAATCATTAAGAGAGGAAGGACCTAAGGGTACAGTTACCTAGCTCAGGTTTGGTGAAGGTCAGAGAAGTCTTTAAGTCCCATGAAGGTGAGGCATTTTTATCCTTTTGGCTTGATATAAAGAGATCATATAAAATAAGGCCAAAAAAGCAGGACTTGCTTACTCTAAATATACGTGTCTTATTTTGCTCGTAGTGGTTTTGAGATGGAGGACTTTTCAATGCACCATGCAACAGAACATGGTGTTCTGTTTTGGTTGTGGGGGGAAAGTACTTCCCTTTACTTTATTGCTTGTTTGTTTGATTAAGAAGCAAGAGTTTCTCATCAAAGTCAGTAAGTTGATCTCAATTAAGTTTGAAATGCAGTGAATTGTTATCTATATTGTTATTCTCTAGAAATAAGTTTCTTCTGTTACTGAGAATTTAAGTGGCCAGTTGCCTCATCACTGCTAATGTCATTCTGTTTACTCCAAACATCTGTAATAAAACCAGTAAATAGCTGATTGTTCTGACCTACAGACACAGGATGCCCACCTCTGGAAGAGGCAGAAGCCATTTGGTTAGAGGCTGCCTATGCTTAGGGTGCATTTCTGATGAATGTTGTTAAAAATTTATCCTACGCGAAACAGCCTACTGGGTCAAGGGGTTTCTGTTGCTCTGTACGACCGTGTGGATGCTGAAACCAACTTTTAAACAGCAATGTGGAAGTGCTGAGTGTCACACATTAAATGCCACAGCACTGGAGTGAAACCTAGAGGGAATCAGCTCAGACACTGGACTTTGCTCTCCCAATCCTGACCTTGTGAGCATGAATATAAGTGTGAAAATCAGAAAAGAGCACTTTCCTTTAATAGATTTGCCCTTCAAAAGAGCTGGTGTCTTTAGTGGCCACCAGGGATAAGAGAATTCCTTACATGGTTCTCAAGAAAGCATTACGAACTGTAGTAGGCGGCAGTAACCATCAAAGAGAGTGAGTGAGAGCTGACTCACAAAGAGGAGGTTACTATTATCACATACAGCTGTGCTCCAATAATAATGCTGGCAATGAGAGCTAATATTTAGTGAACACCAAATTCTCAGTGTCAGGCACAGTTCTAAGTATGTACATGTACTTTTAATAAAGCTCTTAGTACCCTCCTCTGGGGCATTTTTGTGGATGCTCAAGAGTCAAATGTACTTTGTAAGTACAGCTTTGCCTCTCTGAAAAAGGCAGGAGAATGAATCATGTTACCCTGAAGAAAAACAAAGATTCTCTGCCTTTAGGAGGTCGCAGTATTCTTTTCTGTCCCTGACTGTTAAAGGATTGACAAAGAGAATCCTCTAACACAAAAATTGCTGTTGTCTCAAAATAAAATGATCTTAGTGTCTGGTAAGAGCAAAAATATGAATTGTTCAAATGCAATATACAAACAATCGATATCTCTGAAGACAGCCTTTCTAATGTTTACTTCTAATAGCCATTTTCCAAAAATGAGATGACTTTTGTTGCATGTTCTATTAATGTTTGCCTAGATATTTTAGACTCAAGAGATGGAGGGCAAGGATTAAGGCTCAGGAGATGATAATAAAGACTCCTCGTCCTCTTTAAAACTGTAAACATCTGTTCCACCCCAAGCTGGTATATAAGTCCAATAGGGAGTAAATACAGGAGCAATTAAAGTGAACTACTGTACATTAGTGTGCTTTGCTTTCTGTGAATGACTTCTGGGGGAGAGGAACTCTGTGGTTGGAGTAACCTGAAGACAACGCGATGTATACAGAACATCCTTGGCCAAGTTCCTTTGCTCTAAACTATTTCAGTAAAGAAGCATTCAATATTTGGAAGCAGGTATGTGCTTACCCAGTGAAGGTCGTAATCAGATGGCCTTGCTCTTCCTTCGTCGTCCTCATATAACGTGAAACCTTCCCTCCGAGCCTGATAATACTCCTTCCGCAACTTCTGGATGCGGTCAGCACTTCCACTCAGGGGACGGCCACTACAGAACATAAATGCAGTCACACAGTGTACGTCATCCTGGAAGAACACTCTTCGATCTTCTCATTAAAGAAGCTGACCTCAACATTTAGAAGACTCAATAAAGTCATTCAAATATGCAAGGAAAACTGTGAAATCACTAATAACAGGGAACAAAAAAACAGTCCTGATGTGCATACTTGCAGCTTCAAGGATCAGACCATCTAACCCGAGATTAAGAAATGCCTTTTGAGTCAGAAGGTAAGATAAGGTCTTGACCTTTAGTGAAATTGAAAGCACAATCATATTTTTTCTTATAGCCATACCCACAGAGTTTGGTAACATTTCAATGTGGGTATCTCATTTTCTCAACTAATTGTTGCCCATGTGAGCCCAGTTGTTTGGCCTGAAGTTTGGCTGTGACTCAGAGTGGGCATGTGCCAGTTTTCAATTCAATGAGACTCGTGAATTTTGGGAGGAGGAGGTGAGGTACATGCACACGTCAATATATGGGAACAGGCTGGGCATAGGGAAAGGAAAGATGAATCCATTCCAAGAAGTAAAAAGAAAAATAGAAAGGTGGTGGTAATAGAGTGTGTCATCTTGGTTACTTATCCAAGAGTCTCTCTCTTCTTTAGCCACTTTTCTCTCTCAGGAATTATAGGTCCCCCAGTGACCCATCCACTCGACCTCAAACTGGTCGGCCAGTGACTCCCCTTTAGCTAGTATTTGTCCCCATCATTTCAACAGAACCAACACCCATGTGATACAATTCAGGGCTAGGAAACAAGAGAAGAATGATAGGCAGAACTCAACAGTTGTTCAGCTTCTTTGGTTCATTTGAGGTATAACTGAGAGCCCTATTGTGTCAGACCTCAAGTTAAGATCTGGGAAAGTAAAAATGAACAATTCACAGTCGTTGTCTGCAAAAAGCACACAGTCTGGGAGTTAGGGGACTGATAGAGATAAAGAAGACTACAGTCCACTGTGACAGGCAATATAACAGAGGTCTGCAGAGGTGCTGAGAAAATAGAGACTGCTTATACTTTGACAAGGTGAGAGAGCAGGGGCATAGGAGAAGATCATAGAAGGCTCCATAAAGGAGGTGACACCTTGGCTGAGCCTTGAGGGATGCAAGGATACTCAACAGCTGGATAAATGAGATGAGAAAATTCTGGGTAGAGGAAAGGGCTATACAGAGGACAGAAATGAGCAAGCACCTTGCTTTGGGGGAATGCAAGTAAGTCATCTGGGACAGACGGTGGTCCTCCACTTCATTTGTCCTGCCTCACACACATACCAGTTGATGCTTTCTTCCCTCTCTCATTTAGGATGCAAATTAGAATAAAGGTGAATGCTGGTGACTAGGGATATTTTGAATTCACTCTAGTGACAAAAGTACATCACTTCCAAATTTTGGTAGTTTAACTCAATTTGTAACAAGTTATCAACCCTAATGACACTCATGTTTCATGAGTGTAGGAATATCACTGCTCTAGGGTATAGGGTGTATGGGGAGGGGAGCAGGCAGGAGAGACAGGTGTGACTGAGAAAGGTAAGAGCTTTACATGCCCAGAAGATCTCCAAATATTACAGCTGGGTTTTAAGTTTAAGTAAGAGCTCTTATAAGATAAGATCTCTGAAAACAATAGAAAGAGGTTATCTATCATTTTGTTAAAACACTTAACATTATATGTGTAAACTATAACAAGAAAATGGTGATTAAACATTTTATTGTAGGAAAAGCATTCTTCCCAAACTAGATTGCAAGTTAATTGAAAGAATGTCCACGTGTTAATATTATACAACTCTCTACAAGGTTAGTGCTGGGTTCTCAGCTTCCTACCTGCCCTACGTAGGGTCAGTAAGCAGCTGATACCTTTGATTAAGAAAAGACGAATCTTTACAGATCACCTTTTTTTTTCAGTATGTATTTTAAAACTCCCAAATAATTGTTCCTATGCCATGTTTTTAAAAAAAAATAAGATTTTTTTTGAGCACATGAAAAAGATAAGAAAAGAATGGGAGGCCCAATATACTTCCCTGAACAATGGGAAGCTATTGGGAACCACTTCCCTCACACATGAGTATGATGAGCTGACTGTGGCGCCTGTATCCAACGTGTAGGCTTCTGCCAAGGACGCTGAGTGCACGAGCCTTACTCGAACTCACCGGATGACTGTAATCAACACAGCGCAAACATCACATACATAGTCTATGAGTTTACCCAAAGAAACTGAAACATTGAATTCAAGCAGAATGAAGTCATTAGCAATAAAATAAAAAGAAAGAAAAAAGAAACAGATAGGCACTGTTTAAAAAAAACCCCACCATTTTCCTACATTTGTGGTGGGTAAAAAAATCATACTCAGACTGTAAACTATTCTATATGCCTATAAATACATAAATTTAAAAATATGGGTTTAATCAGATTTTAGATCTCAGATCTATAGAGGGACTAGGGCAGGAATACAAAATCAGGTGTTTAGGAGAGAGAAAATCTCCTATGGCTGACAGGAACATGACCATTCATGCAGGAAAGAAATCTGGCCTCAGAGAAAAAACAGGAAAAAAGTCTAGAAAGTCATGGACCATCTAAGTTCAAAACATGCTATTCCTTCTCCCCTGTGAGAATGTTTTAAAGGAGATAGGGGATACCGTGCAATCCTGTCATAACCTGGGACTACATCTCAATGTTATAGTCTCTTTTTTTCTCTCCAACTCCCATTCTACTATTAGTACCTGTGTCATATTTTTTCTAAGTGGGTGTCTTATATAATAAAATTAGAGTAGCAAATTCTGATTTCATTTTTTAGCTCTTCTCTGCAGATAATATACACAAGTTCACCATCACATCAATAAAAACGATATGCACAGCTATTGTAACCGAAGTAGTTAATTGATTCCATTTTGTGTTGAAGATGCAGAAATTTGAAAAAGAATATAAAAATGCCTTTGTCATAATAGTGGCAATAAGCAGAATAGTTATAATTTACAGAAACCTATATAGCAAACAGATTTTTATTTACTCCACTTTCTACCCAGAGCAGACATCACCAATCAATTCCAGCATTTTTTTCCCAATGACCCTAGACAGGGTCTCAGAACTCTTCTCAACTGATAACTGCAGAAAGCCACTACTAATCCACAAGAGCTGGCACTTGAGTTTATTTTTACCTCTTGTGTAACAGGTGCTGTAAGTATTTCCAAATATTAAATAAAATTCAAAGGTAGGTTTTATTGTTCTGTTCCATAGAGATGAGGAATCTGAGGCTCATGGCTAACAGATGATGATCAAGGTTTGCCAGGTTTCAAAGACTAGATTTTCCCCCATTGCACACTGCCTTCCAACCTGCGTCTCTTCCTTCCTCTTATTTATATCTTAGATTCTGGGTCCTCTAGCACTGCACTGGGCAAGAATGAAAGTTAAGGCTAGCTGTCAGAATTACTTTTTATGGACTCCTATTTTTCTTTCTCTATTACATGTTATCTGTTGTAGTTTTCTGGCTTTATGGAACTTAGCAGTAGTAATTCTAACAAGTCTTTTGTTTAACAGCTTCAGAAGTAATGTCAGGTTATGATGTAACTCACATACTTTGCAACCATATAAAATCAGGGAAAGCATCAATAACCCCATCTCCAACTTGCTAGTTAGAAAATTAGGCATTCTGTATTAGTTGTTCACTGGATAAAGTTAGCCATTCTCTCTCTCTCTCTCCCTTTTTTTTTTTTTTTTTAAAAGTTTCCTATTTTAGCTGTATCTATATTTAGTGATCAGTGTCATTCATATACTTTCAATGTGCTGAAATGTTATGTTAAATGAATTTAAACAGTATAACAAGACAGATTTATTTTGTAGTGATTTATTGTAAATTATACTGGCTATGCCTTTAAAGACAGATATGTAGTTAAACAGACTTTTCCTACACCAGCTGAGAGCTGGATAAAGTTTGAAGTCGTAATGAAGTTCAGAAACCATGTCTTTTTTTTCCTAGCCACCTATGGTAATACGTACCCATATGCAATAAATATCACAGTAAGGCATTCTCTGCTCCTTTGAAATCTAACCTTATTCTTCCTAGTTCATAATTAATTCAATTGAAGTACATTTTAAAATGAGTGATCATTTGGGCATGTCATAGTCTCCTTCCATTACTGCTGCAGGCTGGAAAAAGGAAAGCAATATTTATTAAGCTCCTATAATGCACTAAACATTATATTTATGCTTTATACACTTCATCTCATTTAATCCTCATCAAATTTATGAGGACGACACTATTACTGACATTTCACAGATGAGTACACTGAGGCTCAGAGAAGTTAAGCAGCACAATCGTTGAATGGTGGGCCAGGAGTTCATGACTCCAAAGCCATTGTTATTTCTACCATATCATGTTGCCTTTCGAGAAAGGCATTAAAATGCAGCAGGCATTTTGTAGCAGCAGTTCACAGGCGTGTCAAGGCAGAGGGAATTTAGCAGAACACATTTATAGCCATACCTTTTGATACATTTTTATTTGCACAGATCTGTGCAATAAAAATAGAAATAAAAGTAGCAAGAGTAATAGAAATATATGCAATGAAGTCTGTATTCATTAAAGAATGATGTTGGAGCAATTGTAGACTGAGATTTCTGGATAATTAATATTACATTTCTAAAAGGCTTATGTGGGAAAACTGATATAAAACTGAATGGGGTGTAAAAGAGAATCAGCATAAGACAAAGATCCCACGTGAAAGAGAAAGAAACTCTGGTCAGGACCAGGACTGACTGGCAGCCAGGCCGCTCCTGGTAAAGTTCACCAAGGACTGAATAGGAGGGAGGTGATCGCTGACAATGAACCCCTGTTGGACTTGTGAATTAATCTGGGATGATTCTGTGTGTATGCCTAAGCAGGCATGTAGATAAGTGCATGCATCCTAACTATGATGAAGTTGCATATGGTTAACTCCAAAGAGCTGTGTTATTTCAGATAGCCTCAGGACACGGGGCTCTTCTTCTGAAGGGGAGGCATTTGCTTT